ATTGTCTTCGGTGTGGTAAAAATTTAGCGCGAGTGGGGTTCGAACCCACGAGGACTTACGCCCATTGGAACTTAAGTCCAACGCCTTAACCACTCGGCCATCGCGCTACAATGTGAACACTATCGAATAATCCCTTTATAGACATATTCTCGCTTGTAGTTTGCTAGAATAGCTGTTCTTTATACCATGGTAATTGTTCAGGGGCGAAACGGCGAAACAAAGAAGGAAGCTTAGGTGGCATAAGAACTTATAGGTCCTGAGGAGTTACCACTCAAAAACGCGCTATTTCGACATCTGAGATTTAGTCCAGCTCAAATGCTCGTTCTTTCGATTATGAAATCAGATGGAATACGATCAATGATGAAGGTCATCTTAGTTCTTCTACAATTCTTTTTTTTGGCGAGCTTTTAGTTCAACTCCCAACCACTCAGAAAGTTTGATTCCTCAATTAGTTTCTCCTTTGTTGTTCATTTTCCTGGTAGTTCTTCATTATGCTTAGTCTCAGCTTTGTGCCCTTCAAGACTCACCAATTGCATCTGAGCCATTTGAGCCAGATCAGACCACTCCCATGGTACCTACCGAAACTAATAAATTTGCTGGTTGTACTTCAGAGCATTCAGAAGCTTCCTTCATGCTGTTCCCTTTATGTTTCTGAGCTTTAGGTCAGAAATATTTATGTTCTCTTGTTGGCATATCCATCCCCTTCTCAGGTGCAACAGATGAGATGGAGTTTTATTCTCTTCGAGAAGCTTCTGAAATCTTTCGAAATTTAGGCAAAGGTGTTTGAAGATCAAACTTCTCAAGAGGAAATGACCTAATTGGCTCACCGCATCGATTGACTTGGCTATCTGTCTTTTGCCATACTTTTATTTCTTTCCGCTGTGCTCTGTGTTTCTATACTTACAAACTCTCCTTCACGGAAAAGTCATTTTTCCTTTCGGTTTGAAATGTCAAATTCTTTTTACAACCCAATTTTCGACGGTTTTCAATTTAATGTTCACGTCTTCATTGTTATTGTCGTTTATTGTTATTGATGCTATTTATTGCCGAATTTCACTGTGACCATCTATAGACATCAGATTCTTAGACATAAACTTCAGATACTATTTAAATCGTGAACTGTTCCTCTCACCTAATGAAATCAGACTCCTTCCCTTAATTTATTCTCAAATCTCGACGGACCGTTTTCTTGATAAGGATAAAAATATGCCTTATACAGTGTCGTTGAAGAAAGACTCGGTACCTGCCATGTAGCCAAGAAGGATGTTACCTCCTCCCGAAGGCGGTAAATCGTACCGGGTCTGTATGAGCGGGTGGACCGATGAACGTGAGATGGGAGACTTTATGCGTTGTGTCGATCACTCACTCTTTAATTTCTTGTGCCCATCAATTGATCCATAATTGGCTACCCGTATACTGACGTAGGCATAAAAATTTATATTTATGTTACATTTATTTATTTAGTACCTTATTACCTATTGTTTATATTTGTATTTGTTTTGTGTTTTTATTAACATTTTATTTATCTCTCGTAATCTATTTTTCTTATCAAACCTCTATTTCATTTGGAAATGAACTGGTGAAGTTTTCCAAAGACGAATCCTCTTATTACCACACTATCGAATCTTCTGTAGTTCGAAAATTTTCTCTTTTTCTTCCTTATTTTATCTTTTCTTCCTTTTTGTTTGTTATTCTCCAAAGCTTTCTTTTTTTAATGGAATTTTTTGAAATTTTTTTAAAAATTTCAAGTAATCTTGACATCTTGTTGGAATCTTATCAGAGGTTTCATAAATGGCAGTGAACATGATGACTTAAAGCAAATAAATTAGAAGAACATCATGGGAGATACGGTCGAATATTAAAAGTTACAACCAATCCACGGGAGACGCGCCATGCTTTTGACTTTGGTTCTTATTCGGGGTGCTTTTGGACAGCATGACAACTACTGTTCATATGTGATTGTCGTGTCAATCAATGTGATACTCAATTTATGGCTAAATTGGAGCTTACTCTTTTTTTGAGAAGTATTCTAGAAAGCTCGGTCAGCTACTACAGTAATCGTGAGCATTTTTTCAAAGGGGCTTTTTCAAAGAGTGGTTCAAGTATTTCAGTGACTCATCTCAATAAAATTCCGATCACCTCATCTCCTCTCCATATTAAAGCTAACAATGGAAGAGATCATAACAGAGGAGAATCCAAAGGAATACAAATTTCAATACAGAAATCAAATATTCCTCCTGGATTTAAGCTCTTCAAGGCCCTAGGCGTCATGGATCCGAGAATGTTAACGAATATGTAGAGCCACTGCGTGACAACGTCACCTATTTTCTTTTCAGGCAGTGACAAGAACTGCTTCATTACCCCCAACCATACCCCCCGTAGTGATTCAGCATGTCACTGTTGCTCGAACTCAACTTCAACTTCACTTCATGGTAACCTTCAAAATATTAAGAGGACCAAATTTTGGAGAAACAGGTATGTTTGAAATATTACATAATCATTCCTCGTATTTTGTTTTTTCTTTTCAACCCTATGCTATTGGAAAAGCTGAGCTTTCAGCGCATTTATTTGTTGATTAAATATTTTTACGTTAACAGCCTTGTGATTTCGCTAAAGAGCCATTTCGTCACTCTGAAGTTCATACGTAGATGCTGATGACAAGAATCTTCTGAATTCATGGATTCTGAATAAATAAAATTTTGCTGAGCAAAGACTGACATTTTTCAAGGGAGGCGAAAGATCAATAAACAATATTTTAGTAAAATGAGCTGAAAAATTAAGGCAAGTCTTGCCCAAAGCGTTTGCCACTTTTTTATTTGTTGACCTTAGACTTTAATGATCTCTTGGCTCCATGAAATCTCTTTCTTGTTTCAAAAAAAAAGTAAGTTTGCGTATAGCAATCACTGGCGAAAAAAGGTAATGAGAAGGCATACACAGATCTTGCGATGGTCACTGCATAGAATGGAACATCATCATTCACATCAATAGTCGCTGCAAATTTGCACCTTCGCGGAAGCCGCAGCAACCGATAAGTTGTCAGAAATCGCAACGAAAGTTTAAAAAGCAAACCACACAGCAAAGACATTGCTTTGCCAAGAGCAATGAATTATGCCATAGACATACTATCCAAAGGAATTTGAAGGCGTTCCACCTGTCTTTGCTCGATTTTATGCGCAATCGAAGAAATCTCAGAGATAATGAAAATGTAGCGCGATGGTCGAGTGGTTGAGTCGTTGGACTTAAGTTCCAATGGACGTAAGTCCTCGTGGGTTCGAACCCCACTCGCGCTAAATTTT